ATAGAATTTATTAGATCAGCAGCTGCAATATGATTAATTGGCACTGCTGGATAATTTGGTCTGACTCCTGCCGGTGAATAATTCGAATGTAGAGCGGTAAACAACTTTCACAGAGCAAAACATTTTGTTTCTATAAGTAGCACCTGTCACTCTAATTGGTGAAGCCTTCATTCTGCCCAAACATGAGGTGGAAAAAGAGAAAATAAAAGAAACAATGAGAACAATTTGTTGTATGTGAAATAAATCTTATTTAGGACAGCTTGCACTGCCTACCCCAAATTTAATTAACTGCGATTGAATGTTGAAAAGTAATAAAAAGGGGAAAACTTCCAAGGAGGGTAAATACTTTTTCTGTACACTGTGTATCTATTACCTGAGGAGCAATATCAGGATCATCACCTTTCAATTATAACAGTTGATTTAGCAATAACATGCAGAGGACCGCTTTGTTAGGTTGCATTGCTGAATATAATAATAAAAAAAAACCCCAGATGTTTCTTATTGATTTGTAGTTGTATCCTGTGTGTATAATTAACAGTGTTGTTATAGTTGGAGTTATAGTTGATTTGCAGTCACGTGTCAGATTTATCAAGAGGATTGAGTTTTGGTTTTGGAGTTGCTCCCAATGGGAGGAGAGATGGCAAGAGAGATAATGCTGAGACTACATTGTCCTGGTCACAGCAGCCTGAGTCACAGGGGTATATTTGATATAGGTGTTTATTTAGGGCTGCAAAACACTAGCAGTATTGATAACAACCTCACAGATATACAGAAAAATAAAATCACTGATCATGTGAAACCTTCTATAGTTGTTACCAGGAAAAGCACAGGCTGATTAATTCTTTGTCTCGTACTTGACGGTGCATGTAAAACTATAAAGCATCTGCTATTTAAATAAGTAAATGGGTATGGCCAACCACTACTTTGTAAACATCAGTGATTGTGGAACTTTGTTGCAACCCTTAAAAATCTCCTGTGCTGCTACCGGAAAAAGATCTTCAGAAGAGCATATTCATTTAAATAAAGTGTTGCTCTCTGACGCTACATGGAAAAGATTAATGCTAAGTGCAAAGTGAACATAACACAGAGACAATGTAATAGGATCATAGATTATTTAATGGCTTTTCTTGTTACCCTACTAATGGTACATTATGTGTCTACTCGGTGAGCCAGTTCAATTTGTCCCACAGCTCTAAATACTTTAAATAGCTGATATTGCCTTTTTTTTTTTTTTGTAGGCATGATTGAGTTTAATGTGTTTCAATGGAGAGAAGAGCATAGTGGTGCTTTTGAGGTAACTAAAACCATGTGGAAATTGGTTGCACTTTGCTTTTTAGCTACCTAAAGAGACTATTACCAATATTTTACTGCAAAAATGGATCAAATACATATGCCAGGGTTTTGTGCTCACTGAAGTAAATTGTCATCCTTTTAATTTTAACATTCTCAGCTGACACTTCACAAACTAGGACTGGAAAGGACCAGATCAAAACGGCCATTACGTGAAAGTACCTGCTTTAATAATTTTAGTTTTAAGGGGACTAAATTGAATTCAGCTGAGAACAGGATTAGGTCTGATGGCAGTTTGAAAAATGTACCATGCCATGCAATTTGGCCTTGTACGATTACAGATAGAGCTAATGATTATTTTCATGATCATTTTTACTATTCACTACTACTCTTTAAAATACCCAGTCAGTGCCATGGCTGAGCATTTCCACCTTGAAAGCACTGTACCTAGGACAGTCAGAAACATGGATCAAGAAAGTCCAATAACCATTATTTGGAACCAGTATATGGAACCCTTTGTCTTCTGATGATCTGTGGCTCCTAGTCTTCATCTTTCACTGTCTTTATTGTCCATGATCTGTCCTTCACAGTCTGTCTCTCACTGTCTGTCTTCAACTAAACCTGTGAAGCTAACCCACCTCTTTACGTCACCGGCTATTGTCGTCCAAGATGGCACCGCCTTTGTAGAGAAGACACTTAACATCTTCTTTTTCCTTTTATATGCTTACGTTTTTCGTGTTTGTTATATACCTTCTAAATAGAGTGGAAATACATGCAGTTTTCTTGATATTTCACCATCACTTTTATTGTCAATTGTTCAAGGTCCATAACTATTAATTATTGTTTTCCACATGCTGGTTAGGGTAAGTTGTGGCTGTGTTCTAACTTAGTTGTCTTAGGCACTGTGAAAGTAGCTAACTTCCTGGTTTGTGGCAACGGCTTGTGTTTCTTGTTCAGTTTTTGCAGTCTCTGCTTCGGAGACATTTCTGAGACCATACCATTTTACAGTATATTTTGATACGTCACCTGCAAAACTCCGTTTTTTTTAGTTGGAGCTTAAGTAGTTTGAAGGAAAAAGCATTAGAAGCCAAAATATTATCTTTATTAAAAGTAAAGTTCAGAGCTAGACACTCACGTGTGAGCACCTTCGTTCAGAATGTGTTTGTAAAGAAAGAGGCAGCAAGAAGTTTACAGTACTAGTGGGTGCCCTTTGTGAACTTCATGCTATTAACACCCATTCACAAGATAAATTATTAAGTCCTGAGATCTATAGTTCTTATGAGGAAGACCTTTGTGCACTTCCTGCTCATAAAATCTTCATGTTTATGGAAGGATCTTCACTCCATAAGCATGAATTGATTTCCATTATACTTTCCTCATTTGTCTTAATAGGGGCCCAGTCTGAGGACTGAGTTAACTCCAAGTGTCCTTGTTGTGTGAGTGCAGACTCACTATCTTGACACAACAAAGTCTTGCTTAGTTCTATATTTTCCATAGTATTCATACATTGTTGATGTTATAAATTCATGATTTTAAACATTCGTGGTGCTATTTTTTTTTTCATGGGGCAATGTTTTTTTTTTGCAACAATGGCATTTTATTGCTGTAACTTTTTACTCATAACTTGTTCAGCATAGAGGACAAAAGCACCAGTTGAGGTCTACACGGTACTGCTTCCTGGAGAAAGTCAAATCCTGAGCTTTTAACAAAAAAGTCCTTGATTTAAGGTAGCCCTCTCCTGGGCTTCCTCATGTCTTAGCCAACTGTAATCAACTCTGTCCGTTGTCTGGCCATCACTGTAATGAGGACAAAAGCTCTTCTTTCACCTTAAGCTTCTACAGAGGACGTTATATAGGATGATTCACATTTTCAACCACTGCGGCCCTCTGTTTACTCAGATATCCTTTGTCCTCTATCTATGTGCCAGCTTTGCCTTTTGTGATTTGGACGCATGCTTTGGTCAGTGACAGTCTGCAAGTTGTGCAGGAACTGTAACTCAGAATCGGATCCATGAGTGAGCAGTGAAGAGAGTCAGAGGAGACAAATTCACCAGAGCCCCGACTGCCCTTTCTGTCCAAGTGTCTGGTTGGAAACAAACAAGATTAATGTGTTGTTGTCTGGGCTTGTGTGAGGTGTGAACTTAATGGAGACACTGGAGGAATACAGAAAAGAAATAAGTATACCCAAACTGTGACAGAGATGTGACAGATTCCCAAAATAATGTGGGACTCGTGGTGACAGAAATGTGTATTGTTTCGTGCATGGGCTTATCGGTAGTTATTTCTCTTTTAAGGCTCTTATCATATAACTTTAAGTAATAGAACAGTAGTTTGTAGGCTATGTGTGAAATGTTGCTTCTGCAAGCAGCCGAGTATCTCTCTCTTCCTCACACTTTCTATATGTGCATGTGTGGACCTGCATCATTACCTAGGTGTATATATATATGTCTCGAGACTGCTCCATCACTCAGCCCCTCAACCAGCATAAATTTGGTGTATATCTCCCGTCTGCCCTCCTTTCCTCCCTGGCATTTCCGTAGTTATTATTCACAACATGTCTCCACCTAAAACGTTTTCACACAGCAGTGGACTCATCTCCCACATTGCTGTCATTTTAATGGTTGTTTGTCCGATAGGGGAACAGGAGCTAACAGGGGAGGGTTATTAGCAAGGTCACCTCTCGTCCTATTGTAACGTCCACTGAGAACTGTTCTTCAACTTGCGCTGGTAGATTTGTTGCCCAGAGAGAGAGAGAATGAGATGTAGGCTGCTGCTCTGAATTGCTCCTCTGCTGTCTTTCTATTTCACCTTGGCAATAATGCAGATTTGTAATTTTCTTCTGGCAAGCATAGGGCTGTTCCCTTGAACTTGTTTTTTTTTTTTTTGGAAGGGAATCTATCATTTACACTCAGCGTACTCAGTCCTCCTTACTCCCCTGATGCATTAATGCTTCTCTATTGCCCTCTTGTGGTTTCCACACTTTATGCATCAACACTTCTCACCTATAAAATTAAATATGACTTTCTAAACTACAGGTTGGCGTTGCTAAAGTCTGATTCAGACACAAGACGAGCCTTTATCATATATTTGTGTTTTAGCATCTCTTGTCTGAAACATGTTGACCAAGAAAACATCAACTCCAAAGAAACTTGTTTATTGAGTTGTCAGTACCGAAAACCTTCAAAATAAACTGTACATAGCTTGAAATTCTAACATTTTATTCAGGGTTACAATGCCCAAAAGCTGGAGCCATATAAAAACATAACATCTTGATTTCTTCTAGTCTAGACAATAAGAAAAATCAGTACAAAAGCTTAAAAATGTAAACATTGTTAAACAAGTATTCATACAAAAAAAAACAAAACCTGAAAGCTTTAGAGAAAGAGTACAGTAAGACAGATGCAGTCATTTACCTCTCCCTCAATCACGGAGACTGTATATTATAGACACTGACAACAAACACTTCATCTTAGCACCTTATTGGTTGAGTTTCAAGATTCTGTTATGAGTGCAGTCAGAATTAGCTGCCTGTTTTTATTTTCATTTTATGTTGTAAGCTAACAAAAGTAATCCGTATTTCAGTGCAGGTTCAAAACCTTTGCATTTTACAGTTCAAATAAGAAAAAGGAGTTTTAGTGGAACCCCACTACACCTGCAGAATATTTACCCCATTTTGTTGTTCATTTTAAAACTTTGTCCCTATGAAGTGAACTAATTCAAAGTGAAGGTGTCCCCTCGTCTCAGCTCTGGCTTCATCTCTAAGCTGTGTTGTGTTGGCTCTACCTTGGAGGTGCAGTTTCTCAGTTCACCTTTGAGCTCAGACAGCTGCTGAGCATGGCTTGAGAGAGTCCCATTGACCTGCAGGAGAAGACCATTCGATTGTCTCTCCAGCTCCTCCCTGATTCTCTCCAGGTCCTCGGCCAAGTAATTCAGGCCCTTACACTGGTCCTCCACACTGGCGACACGCCCTCCAACCTCAGTTACCTCTTTATGGACCACCAAAGCTCTGCTCCGGCACCCTCGGACCTCTTCGGCCAGCCGCCTCTTCATCTCCTGCAGCTCACCCTTAAGTCGGGTCAGTCTGCGCTCACCTGCCCCAAGCATGGAAGCCTGATGTCCAACCAGCTGGACCACACCCTTTATTTGCTGAGCCATGCGAGCCTCTCTCTCATGCCAGGTGCTGTTGGCTTGACCCACCTGATGGACCACCGTCCCCAAGGAGTGCTGAAGGCCTCTCAGGGTGTGGTTGACAGAACGAACATTGAACTTGAGGAGTGTTAGCTCTCCCTGGATGGGTGAATCTCGCTCTCCTTGCTGCTGCTGGTCCCTTTGGGCCAGATGCTTTAGGATATTTTGCAGTGTATTATTGAAGCTATTCAGACGGTCACCTTGCAGGTCCAGAGCCTCCTTCACATTTTGCTCCTCTGCAAGTTTTTCACTCGGTGCAGCCGAGTCTCCCTGGATGGCAGATTTTTGAGGTGAGGAACAAGAAGAGGTGCAGATACTCTCGAGACTGTTGAGCTGCTTTTGCACTCTGTCCACGTCCACCTCGAGTCTCCCTCGGAGGGACTCCAGCTCTGTCTCCAGAGTGGGAACAGCATGACCTTCCAGCAGTGCAGGAGCAGTGGCATTACCCAGCTCTTCCAAAGCTGTCAGTAACCGGCCCTCCAGAGCCCTCAACTTACCCTCCAATCTGGCCTCCAAGCCCTGTCCTGTCACAGCTCTGTCTAGGACACCACTCTTCCTTCCAGACTCATCACTTTTAATTTGACCAGTCAGGTTTAGCTTGTCCTCCACATATGCCAGACGGCCCTCCAGCATTCCCTCTATGTGGTCCTTGTGTCCACCCAGCTCCACTCTCAGGTGCCCCTGGGATTGGTTGAGACCTGCCACTGATGTTTCCAGCAGCTGCACCCTATCATGCAGTCCAGTCATTCTACCACAGCAGCTTTCTGTAGCTTTTAAACCATGAATCTGTGAGCGCAGGTTTCTCAGCTCTGTTCTCATGTTTGTGGTACTTTCCTGCAGGACATCTTCCATCTGCTTCTGCTGTTCGCCTTGTTCCCTTTGGCACTGACGGCTTACATCCCCAGCTTTCTCGTCGCATCGGCCCTCTGCGCTTTCCACACGCTTCTCAAAACCACCAAGAATGTCAGTCCTGGCTGCACTTAGTTTGGCATCCATTAGCTTCTCCATAGCTTTCCCAAGATTGCCTGTGGAGTCTGATGCACCACCTTCTCTATTTGAAATCTTTTTCAGTGCTCCATCATGCATTGTCACTGCTGATTTGAGCTCCTCCAGCTCTGCTGTCTTGGCTTGCAGCCCTGTCCTGAGCTCCTCTACCCTTTTATTCAGTTCTGTTAGGCCTGGAAACACATGTCTGCCGTCTAGACCCTCTGTGTCAGGGCCTCCACCGGGAATTTCTACAAACCCGACAGTGGATGGACTAGAGGCTACAGCTGGAGCTGGAACAGGACCAGGGGCAGCAGAGAGCAGAGCAGACAGCATCCTGTTTGCATCCTCTCTTAGCGAGGCTCTTAGACTATCTTCCAGTCCATTGACAGTTGCTCTCAGGGTCTCCAGACCCTGGTTTAGATGCCGCACATCCTCCTCCATTCGAAATATTCGCTCCTCTGTTTCACTGTCAATAGCTTGGCCTAAAGAGGGAAAAAAAAGTTAATAATGGAACAAACTTAGTGAACATAAATTAAAGAACTAAGATCACATTGATCACATTCACAAAAGAATAAGATAAATCAGTTTTTCAAAGCAGATTGTTTTTTATTACTTTATAAGGAAGAAAGTGTGAGTCTGCAAAATTTGGTCACTTATTAAACCCAGTTATTTGAGAGTTTGGAATTAGGACACACCTATGTTCTCCTCCTCGGGCTGTTCACCACCAGAGGGAGGAGGAGGGATTTCCTCTGGTATAATGTCCTCCGGTCCTTGGCTGTGCTCATGTTCATGTTCTTGGATGTTCTCTGTGTGATGTGGCTCCTGGTGGTCTGGCATTTGCTCTGGTTCAGATGGATAAGGCTCAAAAGAAGTGTCTGGGAAAGAGGGCGGAGGCCCAAAGTGACGCATTGGGTAGGAGCTGAAACTGCTGGTTGGTGGTCCTTTGGGTTGACTCCATGGGTTCGCTTTCACAGCAGTGTTAATAGGGGGGCCTTTGAACATCGGACCCTTGAACATGGGACCTTTGTACTGTGGACCCTTGAACGGTGGGCCCTTCATTGGTGGGCCCTTGAATGGTGGCATCATTTTCATGGGGTAATGGTAAACTGGATGTCCTTCCATACAGCCATAACCAGAATACCCAGGACAACAGCGCCACTCCAGCTCTGTGACAGTTTTATGTGCCACCTTGTGAATTGGCTTGTACAGCAGGCGATACCTGTTGGGGACATCCAGTTATTGGTAAGAAACCTACGCATGACTACAGCTTTTTTTTTTCTGTAATCCTGAAGTGATTTAAATGTATATTTATAATAAGAGTTGTTGTTTACTCACAAGAGAGTTGGACATTTTTGTCCCCAGGAGCATTTGTTGTACTCAGCTTTTACATAAGGGGCTGCTCCATCCTGCACAGTGAAGGACACTGTTTTTTCAGTGACGTAGGCACAGTGGTTCCTTTTGGAGTGGAAATAAAAGATGACAGAAGAGAAATAGGACAAATTAACGTGACTTATAGGTGGCTGTAAAAATAAAAAATATGGCAACTCAAGTAAAAATGTAAATTGAGGTGACAGAGAAAGAGAGAGACGGAGCTTACTTGTGTCTGCTGGTGGGTTTTCCTTGGTCATGGTGTTGACTGAGCCCAGTTTTATACTGGTGAAACTGGAATGGTCTGTAGTACTTGGTTTCAACCAGTGAGAAAAACAGAGCCATGAACACAAAAGGACTCACAGCAGTTGCAGAATGCATCCTTGAATATCCACCTGTTCGGGTAAAAGTGTAGTGAAGAAAAGTCTTCAAACTGAGGTGATGGTGATGTCAGAAAAGAATAAGGTATTCCTCAATCTAGCGTAAACAACACCTTAAGTATTCCACTCCTTTCGCTTGTGAAGGTTTTTAAATTCCAAGGCCAACACAAGATATCGCAAAATGCACAAACTTGGGAAAAAAAGGCTGCAACAGAAAAAAAATAAAACACTTCAGTCTCTGCAAGACAACCTTTTTGGCTGTGCTGTAGAGCAGAATGCCACCCTGTGAATGTTGACCCTGATGCTGGCTGTGGCTGTGGCTGTGGGTGTAGTAGACTCTGTGCGAGTGACAACAGTCCACTGTGAGTTTGGGGGACTACAGACGCCACTAATAGGGCCCCACTGGCACCATCTGCATATCTCCTCCCACTCAGCCTCCTCAAAGTAACACCAGCGTGACGCTGGAGGAGAGAAGGGAGCCCTCACCGTCACAGTCAGGGTTATTCCTGTTGTGCTCTGTGATATTCAACTCTAAAGAAAACCCAGTTTTTTATTAGACATCTAGTCTGAAGGCAGCCTCTACCAGTCAGGACTGAGGCTGAAGTCCCATGAGCTGTTTTCCCTCTGTGACATCACGGCAAACCAAAGGGGAAACAGTGCATCACCTCCACAGTACAACACCCAGCCTTGTCCTATAATAAGCAGTCTCAGGATGGAGTTATTTATTTGGTCTTTGCTGTATGAAGAAATTCTATTTTCTGTTGTGTGTGAGAACTTTAAATGTAAAGGCAAGTTGTTCAAAGATGAGATTTTTATGTCACAGCTGAATCCCATATAGCTGCTTCATCTTCAGAGTACTGTGTGTGCTGACTCACTATCCCACTGCCATGTCTTACTGGAACACTTGAACTGAACAGAGCTGTTGCTGGTAATTGTGCTTTTTCTTTTCTGACAAACCAAAATGTCTACCGTGGGGGGAAAAAAAGGCCTAAAAGTAGAATAACCCTTGTGTCACAATATTAGGCCAATGTTGTGAACAATTGCAGAGGAGAAAAATTTTTAATGATGCCACTGTGTACTATCTACATTATCCTCTGTTCAGCTCCCACTGTTGCTAAGTTGTCCTTGAGTTACCTCTGTTTCATCATCCCTAGAATAACACATAGCAAGGGATATATCACTAATAATGTCATACAATGTATACACACGTGGACAAAGTTGTTGGTACCCCTCAGTTAATGAAAGAACAACCCACAATGGTCACAGAAATAACTTGAATCTGACAAAAGTAATAATAAATAAAAATTCGATGAAAATTACCTGATGAAAATCAGACATTGCTTTTGAACTGTGGTTCAACGGAATTATTTTTAAAAATAAACTAATGAGACAGGCCTGGACAAAAATGATGGTACACTTAACTTAATATTTTGCTGTACAACCTTTTGAGGGTGCCTTCTCCAGACGGCACGTTTCAGCTCCTTCCACAGATGTTCAGTAGGATTTAGATCAGGTCTCATAGACGGCCACTTCAAAGTGTTTTTAGCTGTGTGTTTTGGGTCATTATCCTGTTGCAAGACCCATGACCTGCGACTGAGACCAAGCTTTCTGACACTGGGCAGCACATTTCTCTCTAGAATACCTTGATAGTCTTGAGATTTCATTGTACCCTGCACAGATTCAAGACACCCTGTGACAGATGCAGCAAAGCAGCCCCAGAACATAACAGAGCCTCCTCCATGTTTCACAGTAGGGACAGTGTTCTTTTCTTGATATGCTTCATTTTTGCATCTGTGAACATAGAGCTGATGTGCCTTGCAAAAAAGTTCCGGTTTTGTTTCGTCTGTCCATCGGACATTCTCCCAGAAGCTTTGTGACTTGTCAACATGCAGTTTGGCAAATTCAAGTCTGGCTTTTTTATGATTTGTTTTCAACAATGGTGTCCTCCTCGGTCGTCTCCCATGAAGTCCCCTTTGGCTCAAACAATGACGGATGGTGCGATCTGAAACTGATGTACCTTGACCTTGGAGTTCACCTTTAATGTCTTTAGAGGTTGTTCTGGGCTCTTTTGTTACCATTCCTATTATCCATCTCTTTGATTTGTCATCAATGTTCCTCCTGCGGCCACGTCCAGGGAGGTTGGCTACAGTCCCATGGATCTTAAATTTCTGAATAATATGTGCGACTGTAGTCACAGGAACATCAAGCTGCTTGGAGATGGTCTTATAGCCTTTACCTTTAACGTGCTTGTCTATAATTTTCTTTCTAATCTCCTGAGACAACTCTCTCCTTGGCTTCCTCTGCTCCATGTTTAGTGTGGTACACACCATGTCACCAAACAGCACAGTGACTACTTGTAACCCTATAAATGACTGTCTGATTACAAGTTTGTAGATATCTGTGATGCTAATTAGAGGACACACCTTGATTGAACATGTCACTATGGTCACATTACTTTCAGTCTTTTCTAGGGGTACCATCATTTTTGTCCAGGCCTGTCTTATGAGTTTATTTTTTTAAAATAATTCTGTTGAACCACTGTTCAAAAGCAATGTCGGATTTTCATCGGGTAATTTTCATCGAATTTTTATTTATTATTACTTTTGTCAGATTCAAGTTATTTGTGTGACCATTGTGGGGTTTTTTTCATTAACTGAGAGGTACCAACAATTTTGTCCATGTGTGTATATATCCATCCATTATTTATACACCTCTTTATCCCTGTAGGGTCATGGGGGGGCTTCAGCCTCTCCAAACTGACTTAGGGTGAAGGCAGGGTTGTATATGTATATATATATATAATCAACTAAAAACTATTTTAGCAAACCTTTTCTTTTTTTGGATTAATAGTTTAGTCTATATAAGATAAAAAAGTATATGTCTATTACAAAGAAAATATACAAACGCCCATGTTTTCCTGTGCCCAAGATCAAGTGATAGAAGTAGTATTCAGTATTCAAGTCTTTTATTTAATATTAATTATTTTATTTGTTAATTACCTATAATAATAACTGATTTTACTGCTTCACCGTCATTCTCTTCCCTGACAGGTTATGTAATCCAATCCATTTAAAAAACATCGCTATTCAAGAGTGGCTTGGATAAATTGACAATGTAATTAAAGCTGTAAGATATATGTAGACTAAAAATTCCTGAGTTATGAAGTAGCATGAAATGGAAATGCTAAAGTAAATTTACTTTGTTTCATTGCACCACTACCAAGGTGATGTTTAATTTATAATGTCAAACACAGTACAGCATAAAACAAAATAGAAACTCCTGACATTTGCGATTTAGTTAAGCACATGATATTAATGTTGTATGAAACCTGCATGGGAGGTCACACACACATTTTTCATGCTAGAATGACTGAATTGTTACAATGTTGTTAAGGCTGTGTCAACACTTGGCAGCTTCTGAAGTGAAATCTGTGAAACATCTTGGGCTCTTTAACTTCACATATGCACCCGGGCGCAGTCTTAAACCCCGTCCTAACAGCAAACCTCCAGGAACAAACAAAAACAAATCCCCTGTGTTAAAGGCTGTGACAGTACACACCCATGCCTGAGTGCCTTGCCCTACAAGCCCACACATTCATTCACAACACAAGTCTTTGTGCATTTTAGTAAGTTCACTGCCCTGAATGTAGAAACACGCCTGGCAGCTGCATTGTACCACAGCTGGGACACTTTCCTCTTAAAAGCCAATTAGATGGAGCCACATGCCAATTTAAGTGGAATGTAGTCATCATTATCAATTTGCAGTACCAATTTTCCAACAGTTTGTAGTGTGAAATCGTGAAATTTTGAAGGGCAGGCTAACAATTTGTTTTCCTTTTGGCTTGCAAAACTTTGCAGTCATTTCAGTCTGTTCCTCTGTTCTATTACATCAGGGAATGCTGGGCCGCTTTAGAACGTGTATGTAGTTTATTTACATGTTAAAAATGTACCTTTCTTATTATTTTAAGGCTCACAACGCTATCCATGATAGTGCAGACATTCCACAGGGAAGTGGGTGAATGGTACAGCAGACACTATATCACAGTTTCTTTTTAATGCATAAACAACAGTTGGAAGATCTGCTTTTTATTTTTTCTTTGTGACCCTTTACAGCAAACACAGTGGTTGTCAACAACCATTCTGTTTAGAGAAATATGGTTTAATTGAAATTGCTGTTTTAGGCCACAAAAGCTCAAACTATCCAGTACCTTAAAAGGTCAAGATTACAAAAAAAACTGAAAAAACATACAAATTTGTGCAGCCAAAACATTTTTTCCTCCTGTATCCATCACCAGACAACCCTTGAAATGTATCTTGTGACCCCCTCAAAGGGGTCCTAACCTCTTCATGAGGAACCATTGAACTAAATTACAGATGGATGACAAATTAAAGGGAAAAACCCGAACTCTTGACCTCTACAGTGAGAGGGTCAGTTGACTGTCCCATGCTATGGGGGGTAATTGGTGTCAACGTTTGGATTTACATGTCCCTTAAATGGAAGAGTCACTGCAAGTCAATACAAAGTTATAAGTGATCATCTTCATCCGATGATGAAACATTTCTATCCTGATGAAAGTGGTCTCTTCCAGGATGCCTCCATCTATAGAGCATGTGGGGTCACTGAATGGTTTGATGAAAGTGATGTGAATCATGTACTATAGCCTTTGCAGTCACTGGATCTCAACCCAACAAATCTGAGGGGAGGGTTTGGACTGATGTGATGAACAGTGCTCTGTACCACCATCATCAAATCTTTTGGAAGAATGGTGTCCATCCCTCCAGCAGAGTTCGGAGACTTGAAGAATCAAGTTCAAGCAATATTGAAGCTGCTCTGGTGATACATAGTGCCCAACACTTCAATAAGAGGCCTCATGTTGGTTTTTACTTTAATTTGTCACCTATGTAATAGGGCCACTCAGATGGTAGAGTGGGTTGTCCACTGATTGCATGGTTGGTGGTTTGATCCTTGGCCCCTCTGCAATGCTGAAGAGTCCTTGAACAG